CTTGCCTTCTGTCATAAGACTGTACAACGCATCCACCTTGCGTCTGGGCAGAGGCAACATTGACAGTGACCTGTTTCTGGACTGAATGCATCTACACATCTACTGTTACATCTGTTCTCTTTCTTTTTCCTTTCCCGTCTACAACCGTTTTTTGTGCAATATATGCCAGGGACCTGTGCAATACATTTATATCTATATCTATATTTATATCTATATCTATATTTACATCTATATTTATATTCATATATGTGATGCGATTTTTCTGTGTACTGTTCTGTCCTAGTTTGTTCTTTGTGTGTCCGGACTGTGAGTAACTCTTTTAGTGCACCCTTCACTGTACTGATTGTATTGTATGTATTGTGCTATTATTATTATTGTATCATTCGTTACACTGTGGCTGTGTTGTCTGTGTTAAGCTGCTGTTGCACTGCAATTTCCCTCACGGGATCAATAAAGTATCTATCTTAACACTACTGCCTCACACATCAGGGGACCTGCGAGATTGTATTTTTCCATTGTAGTTTTCCTTGTGTTCTTGTAGGGTTCCTCCCACAGTCCAAAGACAAACTGGAAGGTTAATTGGCTTTTTAGTGAATTGGCCCTGTTGTGAGTGGGCAGGTGTCTGTGTGTGTCCTGTGATGGACTGGCGTCCTGTCCAGGATGTACCCTGTCTTGCACCTGTTGCTTGCTGGGATAGACTCCAGCTCCTCCACGACCCTGAATTGGATGAAGCAGTTAGAAGATGGATGGATTTAGATAAAGAAAGAGATGAGGCTTTTTGTCTTCATATAGCAGCTGAGAAGAGGTAAGTTGTATTTTGAAAAGTTACACATTTTGGTCCAAGACAGACTATGCTTCAGTTATACACCACTAGATGTTAAAGTCTTAAGGAACAGAAAGGAATTTAGCTGTCAGCATCAATAATAGCTCGGTTGCAGAAGCATCCCAACAGTGAGCATGAAGTTTTGGATCAATTGCATTCAGTTACATTGAATATAATAGTATACATTTTTATATTCGATAAATAATAATACAAGCAGTGCCACTCCCTACACAGTGGACAAATGTGCCATGCCGAAAGACCAGGTCTTCTGCTGTGCCTGTCTTAAACTGTAGAGATTTCAGCAGAGGGTGACATCACTTCTATAACTTGCACGGTGTGCTGAGCCCTGTACACATCCTCTTCACACCTGGTACAAGAAAAGAAGAAATAAACATGAATAGCCACAAATGCAGAGGTCCAGCGAAGACACCCTTAGAG